ATATATGTTGGTGGCCTGATTTGGTGACTACACACAACCTGACCCCCACCATCCACATGGGCTTGGCCTAGTATTGCACACAAGACGGGCCAGTGAAAGTTGGAGATACCACTTAACAATGTGGGTGGTAGTGACCAAACAAAGTCTGTGAAGGGGTTGTTCCCCCGCTCAACATTGAACGCGCAGCTTTGCCGAGTGTGAAACGTTAAACTTATCTAGGACTACGGCTGGTGTAGGTATTTCGAGTTCCTCAATCCACTGAAGAAGGTCCCGGTACACGGAGGAAAACGTCGGACATTGCGCCCAAGGACACGCGGTAACATCCCGAAACCTCCCCCACCCCCTCTCTGCGAGTTTGGAATTTGGGACCGCTGCCTTTCTTGTCTGTGGTTGCATCCGCATTGAAATAAATGAAGAATAATATTGTACAACGCTGATACAAATATTTGCTACATCCAGTGTCAAAGTAACAATAACAGTAATAAATAATAATATGTTTATTTCAACGTAAATTCCTCATAGTACATACAATGACACAGCACTACATAGCATCGATAGTTGAATACAGGGTAAATAAACGTAAGTTGGGTAATAAATAAATAATCACCTGCTGTCCCCAACATAAAAACTGGCTAAATACCAATACTGATCATTAGAAAGAAGACTTCTGGGCGGCAGTGACGTTTCAGAAACTAAGACCATAGAGTCCGTGGCATCATCACTCTGGCCACTACCCAATGGGAGCAGTTGGTGGGGGTGGGGCGGAATCGTCGTCGATGAGCACGTGCCGCGCCTGCCACAGAGGTTGCGGGTGAATTGAAAAGCGGTGCAGGTGAACGCGACACGATTGGGGGACGTCGTCCTGGAGTGTGGTCCAGAAAAAAATCGGTCACGTCCATAGTTCAAGTAACGACGAATCCCCACCGCACCCCTCTTCATTTCCATATTCACCACGGTAAAAAAAGAGTCACATGTATCCCGTCTCCATAATTTTTAAAATACCATCGTATTTGGAATGCACCTCTAAGAAAGATTATGCTGCACTTGCACGTGCGTTGCGCAGATTTAATTTCGGCCGTAGAACATAATATCTCCATCGTCATTACGGCCCTTCGAGGAGATGACTTCAGTGAATTGGAGGGTAACCCATATTTGACCGCACCGCACGCAATTTGCAAAGCCGTGACCTCCACCCTTAGCGCTGAAGGTGGTTGGAATAAAAATGCACCGGCAAGAGACCGTGAGATGACCTTGAGTTAAAATCGTCCACAGCTCAGTTGACTCCCGCCCTGCACCGTTGACAATACCATCGATCGTACGTTTTTTTATTAAATGATACCGAATGAGGTAAAGAACCAGTACCGGACGTTGTATAAAACTGAAAAGTAAAAACGAAAACTCTCCGTGAGAACACGTGTTATGAAGAGTTACCACGTACAATCACCACTGGGTCTTTCATTGCCACCCGTTTAATAATTTAGCGTCGCGAAATCATTCCAAGAGAGTGAAAGGATGCCACAGGGCTCATTGTCATAAACATTCATTGGAGAAGCCTTACACAGTGTTTATGTACAGCCCGTTTGTCAAGCCACTGCTGGATGAGAGCCTTCCCCAACGCCTTCACCACGTGGGTTGGTGAAGGTTGGGGAAGTGCAGAACACTATATTTTGCTACCATGCCCCCTCTGCTGTCCACAGCTTGTTACTCCACCTGTCTTGTGCGCATGGTAGTCATCCATGCAAGCACTGTCCAAGTTCACACCATGCCCAGCTTCTGAGACCTGATGAGATCTGATGAGATCTGAGATCTGATGGGATTGGGTGTACTCTGAGTGATTTTGGACAGAGGCATAGCCGAAAAATAAAAATGTAAATTCATTTTAGAATTGCTGGCCCCTCGTATGCTCAATGCGTCTCCAGACACTCCGGTTTCCTCATCCCGCATCAAGACAAACATAACACGTTTGACCAACATTTAGAAATTCTGTGAGATTTCCCTGCATAAATAAGTAAATCATAATTATTATCGATTGGACGTAAATGTACACATTACCAGCGCCGGGTTAACGCAAGGACTTTAGGGGGCTGCAGCCCAGGGTCATGGACTGAGGTCCACCCCCCCCCCCCAATATATATAGATATCCTGAACACAGATTTATAATTGTTGAAAGAAAATACTATGATAAATTCGAATGTGGAATTTTGTCATGAAAGCAATAGCTTTAGAATTTGTTGGTCACATTTACAACCGAGAGTTTGTTGGTCACATTTAAACCGAGGTGAATAACAATGGAGCGTTTGATATTAGATGTGTCTGATGGCAGTAAACCCCTCAAGGGAATTGAATATACAAAGAGGGCCTCCCCTCCACCCAAAAACTATGACAACCCAGGGCCCCCATCAAACTGAATCCAGCCTCGACCGTTAAGTTACTATGCCAATTCGACTGGCTCAAACACCTTGACCTTCAATTTCCTGGGAGTGTAGCTGATGGATTTGTTACAGCCAATAATGGTACAATGGCGGCCTACGCTTAAATCCACGCGATAGTACGAGCGCAAAAGTCCACACGATGAGACCAAACCAGGGAGAGAGAGAAAAAAAACCCTCAACACCCTCATCATCAGCATCGTCTTTTCATAGAAAAACACAGTAAGGGTGACATTCAGGGAGAGAGTTATCTGTCTTTCAACTCTGAAGAAAGTTAATTGCCTGAATCATCAGCCTAGCCTATGTTTTATACACGGTATACACACAGATGCTTTGCCACACATCCTTTGGAATTCCACTCCTAGTTTTTTGTTGTTGCAATGGTACTGTACAGCTCTCAGATGGGTTATTTTTGTGGTTGTACTGCATGTTGCACAGTTTGATGTCCGACGTTTCACTCCATGTGCCAGGAGCTTCTTCAGGAAGTGAATTCTCAGCATGTGGAGAAAAACGTCAGACGCAGTGCCTAACAATGCGTGGTACAAGCAGAACGCACATCGGAAAAATTTGAAATTATTTTTTCGTGTCAATAGCGCCCTTCATAATTCATGTACAAATTGACACATTTTGCTCACTCTCGTAAGGACGCTATTTTTTCTTGGGTGGGTTCTCATCGAACACCTCGTGATAAAAAAAACAACAACAAAAACGTATGTGAGGAATGCGTTGCCAAAATTTCACCACTCGGTTCAAACTCCTGCAGAATTCTACCGGCAAATGAATAACGGTGTATTTTTCTGTTCTATGGCGGCGTTGACGATGAAGATGGTGGTGAGGTGGCGGTCTTCAGTCTGTCCTCCCACACCAGTGCCAAAGCAGTTTGTTGATTTAATTTGAACGAGATTAAAACTCACGGCTCACTTTAGGCTTGCCGGATAAATAGTCAGGGTCAAAGTTCAAGCGTCCTCTCACGTGCAAAATAAACATTGGGCGGCACTCATCTTCCTTGGCGGTCCTGAGCCAGCAGTGGACATTCCACATTCCTGTGGCAGGCACCAGTCTCTCGAAAAAATAACCCACTCTTGACTTAGCTTAACTTGGGAGGGATGACGAACCGGGCGAACCGCCAACCATGATTTTGAGATCGCGACTTTTCGTGTGTGAGTTAGACACCCTGCCATGGTGCCTCCCAGCAGGATAAATAAGAGGATATTAACATTATAAATGTATACATGTTCAAATAAACACCAGGCGAAGAAGTAAAAGGAAGATGGGAACCAAAAAATAAGTAAACGGCTCTTGTCTCATAAATTCATCCCCTAGGCTGTGTGTGTGTTCGGATCAGCTGATGCAAATTTGTAGTTTCGTAAATGAGAGAAAAAAATCAGAGCCTTTAAATTCAGTCAGGCACTTCATCATAGAGCTCTTGTGATGTCACCATATTGGTGTGGTAATCCTTGTCACCCTTCACACCCAGTCACCCTTCACACCCAGTCACCACCCAGTCACCCTCCACATCCAGTCACCCTCCACACCCAGTCACCACCCAGTCACCCTCCACACCCAGTCACCCTTCACACCCAGTCACCACCCAGTCACCCTTCACACCCAGTCACCCTTCACACCCAGTCACCACCCAGTCACCCTTCACACCCAGTCACCACCCAGTCACCCTTCACACCCAGTCACCACCCAGTCACCCTCCACACCCAGTCACCCTCCACACCCAGTCACCCTCCACACCCAGTCATCCTTCATACCCAGTCACCACCCAGTCACCCTTCACACCCAGTCACCCTTCACACCCAGTCACCACCCAGTCACCCCTCACACCCAGTCACCATTCACACCCAGTCACCACCCAGTCACCCTTCGCACCCAGTCACCACCCAGTCACCCTTCACACCCAGTCACCCTTCACACCCAGTCACCACCCAGTCACCCTTCACACCCAGTCACCACCCAGTCACCCTCCACACCCAGTCACCCTTCACACCCAGTCACCACCCAGTCACCCTCCACACCCAGTCACCCTTCACACCCAGTCACCCTTCACACCCAGTCACCACCCAGTCACCCCTCACACCCAGTCACCCCTCACACCCAGTCACCCTTCACACCCAGTCACCACCCAGTCACCCCTCACACCCAGTCACCCTTCACACCCAGTCACCCTTCACACCCAGTCACCCTCCACACCTACTCACTCTTCACACTCAATCACCCTTCACACCCAGTGAATATTTGCTCAGTAGGAGGTCACTCATTCTCCTCTGCTGTTCCCGTAGTCCTGAATCCCCTTCCTCCAGCCACCCAGGCTGTTCACCATCTACCCCTGCTCAATTGGCGAGATTTGAGGCCTGCCTATGACTGACTGCCTGGTTCTCTCTATGAATTAAACATCGCCTGCTGTTCCTGTACAGCGTGTTTAGATGCAATCACTTTTTCACTCTATATACATCCAAGCTCTACATCAAATCAAATCGTCGTGATGATAAATGGATCGGAGTGCCATCATGGTGTCACAACCAGAGCGTCATAACGGCACACCTGACCGCGAATTTGAAAGTATTTTTTTGTTTTTAATCCAATAACGAAGGCAGCGTCAGACTCGCCAGTCCCACAGCCCAGGGCAACGACCTCCGGTTTGCGTCGGCATAGATAAGAGCCATTCATGTTTTGGTACTACATCTGCCTTCAGCCGTATCGCATCCGAGGCTTGATTTCGAACGGGTCTCTCTGAGTCAGCGACCCGGAAAACTATTTTCTGTGTCCGGCGCACCACATCGAGTAGACCTCTCGCGATGGCTGTGGCCACTCATCACACGCCACCCACTCCAGTCCACCAGCGACCACGAGCCCTCCGGTCGATGTCGTCGATGAGCAGCGCAGCGTGAATCGGGCCGCAATCATCCTCATCATTATTTAGAATGCATTTTTTTTTTTTTCAAGGGAGGGCAGGCGAGGAGCAGGGGGCCGAGGCGGCAGCATCCTCAGCGGCGAGCATGGCGCGACCGTCGCCCGAGAAGTCTTCGGCTCCCCCGGCGTCCCCGCCGGGCAGAGGTGGGGGGCTGTCTCCCCGCAGCCGCTTGAACCGGCGGTCGGGATACTCGCTGTTGTCGAAGGGCAGCCGGTGGACGCACTGCACATGCGTCTTGAGGTTTCCCTTCTGCGAGGCGCTGTAGGGGCAGTGCCGGCAGCGGTAGGGGCGCTCGCCTGGTCGACGTCGCAGGGGCGTGGGAGCGGGGGCAGGGGTGTGGTGGAGGGGGGGGGGGGACACACAGAGAGATGCAAGGAATTAATTCACCATCACCTCCATTGCCATCCCGACACGGATGAAAGAGTCACATGAGCAGTGGCAGCTGGTGGGTAAAACTATTGGTTGGGCACGGAAGCCCAAGCTGGACGGGGGGGTGCCCCGGGTGCGAGATGTTAACTCCCTCGCCTGGTATGCAGGAGGTCGTGGGTTCGATCCCGACCCCGACGCCTGTATATCTTTAGTTTACATGTTCACCCAGTGATCCCGTGGAATATTTTCCAATTCCCTCCGGTGTATCCTTCCACATTTAGAATCGACGTGCGTTTAGAGTTGAGCGAATATGGGTAAGTAAGTGCGTTTAGAGTATTTGGCTGCTGCTATAAATATCCACGTGATAATTCACTTCGTTGAGCTATCATTTGTGAGCAGGTCACTTCTGAAAAAGAGACATATATATCTCTCAGTGGGCTTTATCTGATAAAATAAAAAATAGTTTATAGTTTACTGCAGGAGTTTCAGGAAGAATTTCCTTCTCTCTGTTGCCATGATCGATTGAACAATGGTGAGATAACTTGTGATAAAATACAAAGGGAAGAATATGTTGTTGTTAGCTCATTGCAAAAAAAAATGTTTTTTCAAACTCGATTTGGTGCTTTCGTGACTGCAGGAATTATTCTTTGGTTCTTTCGGTGAAGTCACGTATTATTTTCTATTGATACGTGACTTTACCGAAAGAAGCAGAGAATAAATGTTTTTTCGTCATTATCATGAGCAGGCTTTTGTTAAGGTCTTATTTTACCTATATTCAAATGTGGAGCCCAGGCCCCCACTGACCCTGAATGAATGACAGCCGCCACAGGGCCTAACAACGAGGAGAGCAAGTCCACAAGCTATGCAACAGCCACAAAGGGTTGCTGTGATACCATTTTTACAAAATTACACGACATTGCATTTCCAGAATATGATGAACGTCGCGATACACGTTGTCCATAACTTTGTAATTTGCAGTTTGCAGTTTTATTGTACTGTTTTTGTGCTTTGTTGTATTTTTAACAAAGGTCGGTGACATTGCTGAGCGGTCACGCTGCCCGCTGCAGAGGTTCGCGATTCAAACCCAGCGGCCGCCCTGGTTAATGCTGCAGTTGTAACAACCGTAACACCGCACTCAATTTGTTGCACAGCGGACGTTAAAGATCCCGTGACGCCATTCGCAAGAGTAGGCCATCGTGTGTTGGCGTCATGCTCTAAAATTTCCCAAATATACAAAAACGCAAATGACTAGATTTGAATATACGTAGCAATCACCGGCCCCTCTAGGCACAAAACTTGTTTGGACTCTCCTGAAAGAGAGACTCAGTGAGGCTTCGGTGGGTAACCAAGCATAGTAGTAGTAATAATAAAATAACATGGAAAAGTTTGTCAACTGCAATTCACTTATAATAAGCCTGTTAGATGTATTTTAATGATTGCAGCTTTACAATCTATAAGGCTGATAAACGCACACGCTGCCAGTTACACGAGGAGTAACGAAATCATTAAATAGACTAAAAACAATGAGGTCACATATCTGCCACGCCATAAATTACCCCAGAAAAGCATCTTGCAAAGCCCTAACTTAATGAGTAATAGCTATTTCTCGACAACTTTAATTCTCGTACTTTTGTTATTTCATAAATATTTGGTCAATGAAAAATATATTTTTTTCTTTTTACATGGGCCACAACGATCACAACATGGTAATCATTTGCAAAGTTGACAATACACTTATCGTAGACCTTATATCGCACAATATACTTTAATATTGCCCGATCGCAGCAACCCTACGACCTCGAAGATCTAGATATTAAAAATCGTTGGTGAAGCACAAAATATTTCCACGCACGGCACATGACACCCATCGTACCTACGAGTCTTAGAACTATGCCCGGCTGCCTTTGTTTCCCCAGTACTTATGTTTATGTTGGGCCTACCCTCGGGACAGGTTCAGACTTTCATCACTGATGTTGGCCGGGAGCGGGCTATTGAACTCCGATCGCCAGGTTCGTAGCACAGTGAGCTAACCAACAGCGCCACCGCTGCACCAACCACAAACAAAGAGAAAGATCCCCCGTATAACTTTAACAGACTATTGGGGCAAGTCTTGTTAGTGAGCACCTACGAAACCCGAAACGGCACACGAGGGGGTGGCCAACGCCACGCCCGGCCGCCTTTGTCTCCCCAGTGGCGATGTTAACACACCACACCAGGTATTCATTTGAGGCTGAATCGACCTAGGGGAGGCCCGGGACCGGTTCAGATAATCGCGACTTGTGTTGCGCAGCTCGCTAACCGCTACACCACCGCTCACCCCACACACAAACATGCACATACAAACACACATGCACACATCCATTTTATTTACAATAATTTGCCATATCCGATCAGGAAAGCAAGTGCTTGTTCACGCAGAAGCAATGCCATTCAGGATATCACTTTGTAAAACGTTGCATGTAACATATTGACCTTGTCTGTCAAAGATGATCGTGTTTTCATCTTGGTGTTTACGTTTTGGTTGTTGTTTCAACTGCAATGTTAGTTCTTGCAAGGAATATGCAGTACGTAGGCTTTAGAGAATTTGTAGCAAAAAGGATTTTAAGGTGGGTGGTGGAGGTCACACCTTGCTTTCGTCGGCTGAGAAGAACGATGGGAAAATACGATGTAAAAGCAATGGAAATTCACGTTAAATGTGGCAGATTGCGTATCTTTAAAATACTCAATTCCGTATAGAGAAGCACACACAAACAGAGGAATATCCGCTTTGTGCTTCCCTCATTATTCAGGCCCCAGGCGCAATCAAAAACTGATTACAAGCAAGGCAAATAGTCGGACTAATTAGTAAAATGTTCCTCTTTTTGGGGTGTGCAAAAAATACGGAGGAAAACGTAACAATGCCTAGAAACAAATTTTAACTCTTTAACCCACTTTTTGCCATGTGAATCGACAACTATTCGGCGTCCTTAATGCGAATGTTCTATTACAAACGTGAAAAACATCCGCAGATTTCTATGTTGGGATCGATTAGCAGCCGCACTAATCTGGACTTTTGTGCGTCATCCGTTTGTCTCTTAGAGAGCGCGAGTGAAATATTTTTCATGCACAGGCAACGAGGCACACACGTGTTACGCACTATATTATGTCAGCTGTAAATAATATGACGTCAAGTGAACAGAAACACACATTGCGTTGAATACTTGCAGTACAGTGTGCATAAATATGTATAGCGACGATGTTGCTGTGTTTTAACGCTGAAGCGCGCTCGGGATTTGCCGTGCCGTGCTTTTGCTACAGCTCGCAATGCAGAAGTCAGCAGGTTCCTTTCGATCTCCCGGCGCGGTGGTTGAAGGGGTGGCGAAGTTCCGAACTCCACCGACGCCGCACTCTCTCTGTCCACCCGGCGGTATAAACGAGTCGTAACCTTTTGGCCACTGTCACCACCGCCCCCTCCTGTGAAGGTTTCCTCGGCTTGGCTAGGAAGTTGGTGATTGTATGCCAGTAGACCTTAATGGGCTCGTTTCTTTGTTGTGATAACTTTCTTGTTGTTCGTGATGTTTTTTGTTTCGGTGCCATTTCCTAATTTGTTTTTTTCATTTTTGCCTTTTCCTGTAGTAGCAGGGGTTTTCATTTGCTCGGTATGTATGTGTGAGTGTTGGGCTTCTGTCGCACCATCTGTATATGGGATTCGGTCCTTACGAATATAATAAATTAATTAATGCATAGCGTTTTTGGATGCTGTTGGCATGAATGACGCTAATTAAAATTAAAGTACAGGAACTCTTCTACTTACGAACATTCGACTTAGGAACTTTCAGAGATACGAACAAACCTGTCCGTATGTCCAGTTGCCTGTTCAGACCGTCGTAAGTTCAACCGTCGCGCAATAGATGGCGGTGGTTGTGCGGTGTCATTACTCAGCATTCCCATTCATTACCCAGCATTTCTGCCTGGGCCACTGCCATTGGCTGTCGTTGTGTTGTCGCTGTGCAGTTCACTACGATGCTCAGCTTTTCACGAACATTATCAACCCCCATCATGTTTCAGAAGCGTGAGAGTGGTAGTAAGAAGAACTGGTGGCATCTACAGGAGATCATACAACTTTTAAAGACATTCCCCGTGTTTAGTGTACATGCCGTACATGTTTGGAAGTTGGATATACAAACAAATCGACATACGAACAGACCTCTGGAACCTAACTCTTTCGTGAGTAGAGGAGTCCCTGTATTATAATTGGTTACATCACCAATATTCAATCGGCAAGCCACGCATGTTAAGGAAGTCCAGTGGGGTAAAGTGTAGCCACTGCCACCTCTTCCAAGATGCGCGATCAGTGCGGAAGAGGAGGCCAAAATAGCCTCCAGAATGGCTCTCCAGAGCTCGCTCGAGTGGAGGTCGTTCCACCAGCAGTGGCATGAGCGAGCTATTGCAGGGCTGTGCCTTTGCCATTGTGGCTTAAATACAAGGAGGCACAATTGTAAAAAAAATATTTATATTTAGACATTTTTTACATTTTTAATTTAATCGCACGGGGTCAGGGGACTTGTAATCAGATCGGCGAGTCCAAATAAAGTCACGTGAAGTTATAAAGCAGCCTTCCCGGCTGGGTGGGTGGTCTCACATTCGTACCTCTGAGCTCCGTACTTATAGGTTCAAATCCTGGCAACGTAAACAATCTGATCCTTCCTTACTGGTCGTCAGCCAGTGTTGCTTATTGCTTACTTGTCCATGCACAGGTCATCGTCTGTCCGCTGCTGGATGAGGGCCCTCTCCCGTGCAAGCTCGCATCTGTCATTGGGGGTTCATTTTACCAACACTTGCACGGGGCCTTAGATGTACAGCACAGCAATGGATTTTCTACGTATGTATGTTTTGAACTTCTTTCTCACCATACATAGCCGACCGTGCAAATCGGAGATGCTTAACA